AAAAAAAAAAAAACCTCAATGTAAATACACGAAGAAAGAGAAATGCAACTGATGGTTTCTAATTCAGGAAAAAAGGGGGGGAAGCGTACTCTAAAAACATGGCAAATTAAGCAGAAAACAGAATAAAAAGCAAATAAAAGCTGGCAAAGCATTATACTCATTAGAAGATGGAGAAATAAGTCTAAATGTATCAATTTTTCCAATACATACAAAATTACCTGCAAAAAGTTAGAGATGTCCTATTGGATTATAAAAATAAAATCTATGTATATGCTATTTAGAAGAGACTTCTGGAACACTACACTGCAGTGCTGGGGGGAAAAAAAAAAAAAAAAAAAAGGATGGTGAAAGATATGTCCTGTAAAAACTAACCCAAAAGTGTGTGGTATAACCATTTTAACGTTTTTTTTTTCATTTTTGTATTTTTTGAGAGACAGCGCAAGCAGGGGAGGGGCAGAGAGAGAGAGGGAGACACAGAATCTGAAGCAGGCTCCAGGCTCTGAGCTGTCAGGACAGAGCCCCATACCGAGCTCCAACTCGTGAACCACGAAATCACGACCTGAGCCGAAGTCGGACGCTCAACCGACTGAGCCATCCAGGTGCCCCTGTTATAACAATTTTAATATGCAAAGTAGAAGGCAGTATAGCACTAATAAGGATAAAAAAAAAAAAAGACACTGTGTAATGCCCAGAAGAACCATCACCCAAATAATATAACAATTATAAACTTGTATAGGCTCAACAGTCAAAATATACAAGGCAAAAACTAACAAAACTGGAAGGATCAATGGGTAAATCCTTAATCTCTGTGGGAGAATTTAGGCATGCCTCTTTGAGAATCTGGTAGGTTAAAGCAGACTTAAAAATCAAAAAAGCAACCTTATCTTAACCATAGCTAGCCTCCCAAGGTCCTGGAGACCTTGCTTTTTAAATATGCACAATTCTTCAGACTTACGCTATCCCTGACCCGGACTAACTAACAACTATATAATCGGCTACTCCTCACAGTCCTGGGGCAGCTCTTTCTGCTTACAGGTCCTGTCCCTGAGCTTTAATAAAAACACCTTTTTGCTCACACGCACACACGCACGCACGCACACACACACACACACACACACATGCATACATAATGCATAAATACATACATAAAATAAAAAATAAAAATAAAAATCAGTCACATAGGAGTCGATACTTCTTTAACATGGAAAAAATATATATACAAAGCCAACATCTTTCTTACTGGGGAAAAAATAGAGGCATTCCCACTAGTTATAGAGAAGCCAAAACGGTTCATTATCTTCATTATAATTTAACAGTGTGTTGGAGATATTAGCCAGCATGGCAGGTGGAGAGGGGTGACAGAAATTTAAAGATAGGAAGAAGTAAATTTATCTTTATTTGCAGATTATATCGTACATATCTGGGGGGAAAAAGTAAACGGAAAACAAAACATGAAATGGAAATTTAGTAAAGTAGCCAAATATGATATTAAACACAGAAATCAGACGCCTTAATATAGAAAACAACACCTAGTAGGAAAAAAAAAAAAACAATGAGAGACCACACTTACAATACCAATAAAGAAAGAAAAATTACTAGGGATAAACTGAACGAGAAATTTACAAAACCAACGTGAGAAGATTACAAAATACTTTCCAAAGACAAAAGTCAGGCTTGACCAAGTGGAAAGACAGGTCACGTTTATGAACAGAAAGATTCAACGCCGTGTTAATTCTCCTTAAGTTAATTTTAAAAGGTAATGCAGTCCTAATATATGTACAGCTAATTTTGTTCTACACCTAAAAGACTGGTCATAACCTTGTTTTTGGAAGAACTAAGTAGCAAAAATACCCAGAAAATCTCTGAGAAAGGAGTGCAGTGGACCATAGTCATAGCCCAAATACTAAATACATTGTAAAGTCTCCATCGTCAAGATTGTGTTGGCGCACAAGTAAATAAATCAATGAGACACTGTACAAATATAGAAATAGATATAAAAGCATAAGACAGATTATATATATCTACAGATTATATATATCTACAGATTATATGTATAGCTACAGATTATATATATATATATATATATATATATATATATATATACAGATTACATATATATATATATCATCTACCCTTGTTGTGGAAAAGGACTTTTAAATAAGTGATGTTTGAGACATTTGGATAACCATATGGAAAAAAGGTAAAATTGGAACCATTCTTCAAACCATAAAGTAGGGAAATTTCGAAATGAGTCAAGTAACTACATGTGAAAAAAAAAAAAGAACAACCCAGTAACCAACACCCCCCGCCCCCATAAGTGGTAATAGAAAGTGTGGGTGAATTCTTTCACAACCTGGCAGTGGGAACACTTTTGTAACCACGAATAAACTCAGCAGCTGTAAAAAAGATGAACTTGACTTTGTAAATACAAAACAAAATAAGCAAACGAAGCTGTTACGCAGCAAAACCCCACAAGTGAAGTAAAAAGACAAGTAGTAAACTGGGAAATAATTAACAACTTTTGCCACAACAGGCTATTATCTTTAATATATACGGAGCTTTTAAATTTGAGAAGAAAAATACCAGTAACCCCGTAGGAAAAAAAAAAAAAAACAAGTGAAAGATATACACAGAGAGTTTATAGAAAAAGAAATTTAAATAGCCTTTAGATATAGGAAAAGGTTTCCAGTCTTGCTCATAATAAGGGAAATGCGAATCAGAATTACACCAAGGTATCATTTCTCTCCTCTCAGATTTGCAAAGATCCAAAAGCTTGGCAACACTCTGTTGGCCCTCATGCATGTTGGTGTGTAGGCAAAATGGGAATGTGGCAATATGTAGCAAAATCATCCTTGAATTTGTCTTTTGAAACCAAATCCCACTTGTAGGTATCCCCAAAGTACCGGACAAAAATGAGAAATGACGTAAGCATAAAACTATCAATTGTAGCACTCCGTGTAATCACAGAGGACTCAGAGGAAACCCAAATATCTTCAACAGGGGACTGGTTATAGATATGGAAATGTCAAAAGTAAAAATACAGAAAAATACAATATTAATAGCAGTAAAAAGGCTGACCTAATCTGAAGATCCACCAGGAAGATGTAGTAATTCTAGGGACACCTGGGTGGCTCAATCGGTTAAGCTATTATCTTTAATACAACTTGGGCTCAGGTCACAATCTCACAGTTTGTGGGTTTGAGCCCCGCATCAGGCTCTGTGCTGATGGCTCAGAGCCTGGAGTCTGCCTCATATTCTGTGTCTCCCTCTCTCTCTGCCCCTCCCCCCGTTCCCACTCTGTCTCTCGCTCTCTCTCAGAAGTAAATAAATATTTAAAAGTGTTTTAAAAAGAAGATATGGTCATTCTAAATTTGCTTCGTACAAACTAACAACATAGTCTGAGAATAGGTAATGCAAAAATTGGCATAAGTATAATGAAAAAGAGACACGTCCTCTGTTTTACAAAGAAATTACATCACACCGATCTCAGTAACTGATGCAATAAGTAGGCAGAAAATCCATGAGGTTATAGAAAATCTGGATGATATAATGAACCAATTTGACCTAAAACACATTATATCCAAGTGCACGTAGAACATTTCCCATAATTGATCAAATAAGGGCATAAAGTAAACCACAGTAAACCTCAAGGATTTTAAACAATGCTGAGTAACTTTTCTGACCACAATTGTCTTGTTTGAAATCAAATAATATAATTAGACAATCTCCAATACATGGAAATGCAGCATTATACCAAAAAAAAAAATCATCAAAAAACCATGGGTCTATAAAGAAATGAAGTGAAAATTAGAAAAGTATTTTAACTAAATGTAAATGAAAATATGTATCAAAACCTGCAATTAGAACCACGTTTAAAGGAAGACTTAGAACATTAAATGAAAATAGAAAAAAAAAGCCCAGGCTCATAGCAGTCTTTTGAGCATCACCTCGTGAAGTTAGCAAAATAATAGCAGGTAAACTCAATGAAAGTAGAAATGAGCAAATAGTAATGAGAAGAAATTAATAAAATAGAAACAAACTCAAAACAGGGAATATTTAAAAAGCAAGAGTTAGTTATTTTAAAATACTGGTAAAATGTATAACACCCAGGCAAAACTTACACAGTAATGAAAATAAATATATTATTGCTAAATGCAACATAGGTGAATCTCACAAATGTTGAGCCAAAACAAAAGCAAAAAAACCAAAACAAAACAAAAAAACAGCCAGACCAAAAGAACACATACTGTGTGCTTCTAATAATACAAGACTATATATAGTATTAAAAGCAAAACTAACAGTTACCTTTGGAGACGCGATTGGAGAAGATGCCAAGAGGGGACTTTTGGGATGCTGGAAGTTTCTATTTCTTGAAAAAAGACTAGTCCCGTGGGTGTGTTCACCCTGTGATAAGTCACTGACCTGTGCACTTATGATCTGTGTGCTTTTCTGCACGTTACACAGCAGTAAGATTTTGCCAATAAGAGACACGAGTTATCAGAAGAGAGTTGCTTGACAGAATCAGTGCCCCCCAAAGGAAATGAGAACAAACCTCTTTCTCCCATACTCTTTCTAGATGCCTGGGATGTGGACAAGATGCCTGGAGATTCAGAAACCATTTGTGATCATGAAGACAAAAGCCACAAAGGACATCAGCCTTGGACAGCCGAACACCTACACCTTATATGAGAAAAATAAGCCACTTGTCTACTGGAGCCATTCTTACTTGAAGCTGACTGCCACTTCAGCTATGGTTTAAGGATTCAAAACACTTTTTTAAGTAGGTTCCACGCATAGAGCCTGGCTGTGGGCTTTGAACTCACGACCCTGAGATCAAGATCTGAGCTGAGATCAAGAGTCCAATGCTCAACCCACTGAGCCACCCAGGCACCCTTCAATTTTTTTTTTTCTTTTTTTAGAGTCGAAAAAGAAGTACACAATTTCAACATAGAGCAGGAGGGAGCAAATACCAAAAATTAATCCCATCGGAAACACAGAAACAAGAACACATAGAAAACATTTTAAAATAAAACCAGTGAGACCAGCAAATCTCAAACAAAGCTTTGCTTATTTATTTTAGACAAAAACAAGAGAGCAAAACTAAACTGTATTAAGAAGGAATAAAAGAAGCACTACTCATACAGCATAGGTTTAAAAAAATAAATTGTAAGAATTGTGCGGCAAGGACAGAAAAGAGGGAGCGTCCTTGGAGTCCCTAATTTACAGCACCCACTGTTTGAACCTCATCCGTACCTGACGGTACTCGACTTAAGGAATTGGGATTATTGCTTTTATGCCAGCAAACCCAAAGAGTGGAAAAGAGGCCCACCCGATCTGCAGGTGAGGCAGGGGGACCACACATTTCAATTGTGGGTTTGTTGCCCATGGTTTAAACGGAGAGCCACCTGGGGGCCAGCGACGGAACAACAGGGGCTGCTTCCGGCCGTCGTCGGGGGATCTGGGGAGACCCAGTGGTGTGGCCTCCAGCCTAGAGCTTTAGCCAAAAGAGAACCCTCGGCCCTCCCTCCCCTCCCTCCTCCTGTTCCGTGGCCACCGCGTCTCCCAGCTGCAGTGGAAGGGGTACCCGGGGAACGCCCATCCTGGAGTGGTGAAGGGCACCCACGGAGTAAGAGGGAAGAACTAAGAGTCAGCGTGAAGAAATCCGCCCAGGATTCCTGCAGGTGTTTTGAGCCTGGTGTCAAGGGGGAGAGAGATTGTTGATGGGAAGTTAGGGGGGTGTGGTCCACGTGGGGTCACCATTAACAGGTGTGCAGGCAATGGCCAGTTCCCCTGGGCAGATCGAGTAACCTCAAAGTGTGCTGTCAGGGAGGTTAGGGTACTTGCGGGGAAGGGGAGATTAGAGAGAGAGAGCGTTGAAGGAAAGGGGAGGCACAGGGAAACCCCGCTGTGTCCCTTGTCCCGTAAGCTTATCCTCTCCTTCCCAAGCCCCACTCCTCTGTCTGGAGTCTCTCACTGCAGGTGTGCCCTAGGAGTGCCAGGCCCACCCACTCTCAGCCTCCAGAGCCCTTTTTGGACCTCAGTGACCCCTTTTCCAAACGTCTGCTTAATTTCTTCCTGTCCGCATCCCACTGTTACTCCACCTTCAACATGCCCACGCTCACAACCACGGACTTACCTTTCAATTTCCCACATTCCCTCCTCCTCTCCTGAAACGTCACCGGCCTTCAAGTTCTTCCAGTCTTTGCCTCACAGAGCCTCTCCAGAAGAACTTCTCAGTGACCAGTGCACACATTCTCAGGGCCTGTGACCTCTGCTGTCTTTTATTACCCATCCGAGAGGGCGAGTTCTGAGCTCAAACTCCACCTCCTGCTTGGTGAGACAGTGACTGGGAGCTAAAAGGTTGGCGGAACATGTTGGTTTCGATTGGTCGTACGTGCCTGTTTCTACCTTATTAACTGTACTATGTCAACCTTATTTAAAAGCTGCAGACATTTGTGGAGAGCTGTGGGGCATCGATAAATGAAATGTTTAAGATGTTTTAGGGATTCAGACTTTATCTTTCCTGTTCTTTGCCATCCCACAGCCCTTTCCCCAGGCCAGGCTTTCATTTCCTCACATTGAGATGACAGCAGTAATTTCCAGATTGGTCCTTTGATCTCTACACTTTAAGATTTATCTTTTTTTTTTTTTTTAATTTTTTTTTTCAACGTTTTATTTATTTTTGGGACAGAGAGAGACAGAGCATGAACGGGGGAGGGGCAGAGAGAGAGGGAGACACAGAATCGGAAACAGGCTCCAGGCTCCGAGCCATCAGCCCAGAGCCCGACGCGGGGCTCGAACTCACGGACGGCGAGATCATGACCTGGCTGAAGTCGGACGCTTAACCGACTGCGCCACCCAGGCTCCCCTCATTTTTCTTTTCAGTTGCCCCTTGATCTTATTATATTTGGTTATATGTTATGCTTTTCTTAAACTTTTAAACCATACAGGCCTGGTGGAGACAGAGCAGAGTCTACAATATCCTGTTTTGGTCATATGATTGGAGGTGGGTAGGGGCTTTCGCACGGTGCAGTTTCCAGAAGCTTAGCTGCCATCAGAGAACCACTCAGGGATCCAGGCTGCTGACCCATGCATTCTATCCTCCTCTTCTGTGTTCTGAGAAACTCCCCTCCCTCCTGCACACACACCTATTACCTGGCCCAGGTGGGCAAGAAGCACACTGAACCAACACATATGAAGATCCACGTGGAGGAAAAATGGCTGAGCTGAGATACTCTAAGGAGACGGGGACACTGGGTAAAATCAGAAGACTCGGAGGCTGAGAGACCAGAGCTCAGACAGCAAAAGGGGTGCAAAGGCCAGAAATGTGGGTATACAGAAAAGGAATAGTATCCAGGGGGTCCTGGCCTTTGGATCATGTGGCTCACTCAATAGTGGCTAATTTGAAAGTTTGTTGACATGGAATAGAACTTGGAACAATGAAGAACTAGGGAGCTAGGGAACATGTTAGAACTATGTAGGAAAGGGTGAGGGAGATAATCCACCATATGTAAAAACACTATAAAGGGTTCAAGAGAGGGGCGCCTGGGTGGCTCAGTTGGTTAAGCATCCGACTTCGGCTCAGGTCCTGATCTCACGGTTTGTGAGTTCGAGCCCTGCATCGGCTCTGTGCTGATGGCTCAGAGCCTGGAGCCTGCTTTGGTCTCCTTCTCTCTCTGCCCCTCCCCCAACTTGTGTTCTGTCTCTCAAAAATAAATAAATGTAAAAAAAATTTTTTTAATAAAATAAAGGGTTCAAGAGACATGTAGTACAGGTAAAATGAAAAGAAAATCATATCTGTCTGCATACATAATAAACCACTCAGAACCAAAGAAAAGAGGAAATGTTAAAAAATGCCAGAGAAAGACACATCGATTTCAGAGGTGCAACGAGACTGAGAACAAACTTCTCGCTAGAAACGATGGAAAGCAAAAGACAAGGTCTACAACGGAATAACTTCTTACCTAGAATTCTGTACTCGGTGAGAATACTCCACAAAATGAAGTAAGAATAAAGGCAAAAGTAAGAGAATTTATAAAGGGAAGTCCTTAGCAGGAACCAAATGTCTCATGAAGGAAACAAAATTATAAAAGGAAAATGATCTTAGAAGAAAATACAGAAATACAGGAAGGAAAATGTAAACACTAGCTATGTGGGCAAATATAAATGCATACAGACAATATCAAGAAATGATATTGATAATTATAGGATTTAAAATATATTTAGAATTACAATGCTTGAAAATAATGCAAGAGGAGGGAGCAATTAAAGTGTTCTAAGATATTAGTATTATTAAGTAAAGGGTCTAAGTACTAATTTGTCTTAGACTACGATAAATCAGAGATGAATGTTGTAATCCATAATGTAACTATCAAAAATTGCAACACACAGAAAGACAGAGGAAGAGAAAGAGATAGAGAGGCTAAAAAGAAAGTGAAATAAAAATATTTGATTCAAGGTGCACCTGGGTGGCTCAGTCAGTTGGGTGGCCGACTTCAGCTCAGGTCATGATCTCGCAGTCCGTGGGTTCAAGCCCTGCATCGGGCTCTGTGCTGACAGCTTGGAGCCTAGAGCCTGCTTTGGATTCTGTGTACCCCCCTCTCTCTGCCCCTACCCCATTTGTGCTCTGTCTCGCTCTGTCTTTCAAAAATAAATACATGTTTTTAAAAAAACTTGATTCCAAACGAAGGCAGAAGAGAATTACCACATCTTGATAAAGAGCATCTACAAAAAAGCCCGGTTGACATCATAGTGGATAAAGACTGAATTGTCTTCCCTTTAGATTAGGTCCAACGTATCCACTATAATAGCTCTTATCCAACATAGAACTGAAAGTTCTAACCATTGCAATAAGGCAAGAAAAATAAATAAAAGACGTACATAATGGAAATGAAGAAATAAACTATCTCACAGATGACATGATTATTTCTGTAGAAAATCCTAAGGAATCTGCAAAAAAAAGAAAAACTCCTGAAATTAATAAGTGTGTTCACCATAGTCGTGACACAATATCAACACACAAAAATAAACCAATATTGATATAACAATAAATATGTGGAAACCAAAATTAAAAACAATACCATTTATAATCACTCAAAATAAAACAAAATGTTTAAGGATATAATAAGCAAAATATGTACAGGTTATGGATGCTCAAAATTACAAAATTCCAATGAAAGAAGTCAAAGAAGATGCAAATTATAGAGACATATATGGATGATGTTCGTGGGACTGGAAGACTCCATGTCGTAAAAACTTTCAGTTTCCCCCAGTAGGCTTAATAAAATTTTTATCAAAATCCTAGTAAGGCGTTTTGTAAATGTAGACAAGCTTATTGTAAAATTTATAGGGAAAAGCACAGGCCCAAGTGTATCTAAACTAATCTTGACATGGAAGAATACAGTAGGAGGAATAATTCTATATCAAGCCTTACTCTATAGCTACAGTAATCAAGACAGTGTGGTATTAGTGGAGGGATAGATAATACTACCATTAAAAATAGTGAGATGTCATCAATGTCTTCATGGCAGTAAATTTAATAAATTATATGAAATATACAACTTCTTTGAAAGACAGAACTTACCAAAATTGACACAAGAAGAAATAGAAAATTGAAAAGCCCTATATATATTTTATTTTTTAAAATTATGGTAAATTATACATAAAACTCCTAGAAGATAACATAAGAAACAATCTAGATGACTTTGGGTTTGGCGGTGACTTTTTAGATGCAGCACCAAAGGCACGATCCATGAAAGAAATAATTGATAGTCCA